ATCTACAAATATGCACAAAAATGACCTAAAGATGCCCGATAATAGTACGCTTGAATAATCACAATAAAATGATATCATTCTGAATATTGTTTGTAGCAAAAAAGCTGTGAGCGCAACCTCTGTAAAATTAAGATGTAAAACACAATGTAGCTGTTGTTGCTAATCACAGAGAAATTGTTTTATTCTATCTGTTTTGGAACACATTTGTTCATCATTCTGCTACTTAATCCTCCGGAAAATGCAAGACGCAAGAAGTTCAAAAATTATCTAGTCAGACATTATTGATGTATGGTCTGTGATAGTATATGAGTACCATCTGTCATAGTCTGCGATGATCTTTAACTAGCATATATCACGGTCTGATGAGGGGAAGATATGGACCTACATGTTTATCTCTCTTCTTCAACAATTCTTTTAGATCCTGTTGCACAAAAATGATTATCTACTATGAAAATGAATTATAATTTCTATTTATTGTAGCTATGCTCGTCAGAGAGAAAATTAACCTGATTTGTACACCGAGCCGTACTTTCAGACTGATAATATTTAAGTAAAGCTAAAAATATATATGAGAAAATCATTTTTTCCTTTTTAGACCTTCTATATATATTATTCACTTGATGGGTTAAAAGATACACCTGTCATACGTAAAAATAGTTATGTTTGCTGAACTTTTACATGAGTTCATTGAAATCAGTTCTTCGGTCGTTTGAATTTAATCAGAAAAGAAAATACAGTACACATCAGATCGATTTGTCTACTATGAGACCTGTCGATCGTGGATAATGGTTCCATCCGTCATAGTCAGCTACTATTACTAAATGATTAGGACATACCATGTTGAATATCTTAGCTGTAATTCTTTGCTCAGTAACTAGCAACTGTTTCATTATCAGAAGCCCTATAACAGTTAATGTCGCTGACAGATGAAGGCAACTGATCAGCCATCATCAACGTTTGATGAATATGTGAATGTACCTCTGCTGTTGCTTTGTATTTTTTAACGACAATTTCTTTCACTCAAGAAAATATTGATGCAAGTTAAGTTCTATATCATTTTGTAGAAAAAAGAGAAGCTGCATAAGTTAATCTATCATAGGCCATTAAATCGCAAATAATTGAAGAGAAGAGACTGATTTGTTCGTTTGATATGTAATAAATGTTCTAACTTTTTATAAAGTTTTTTTTTTTTGGAAATCATGTTCAATGATATGTACTGTTATTTATTTGCGAATTAGAAAAGAACAACTGATACGAAAACTATCATGTTGCCATCAGAATAAGTTAATCCATATCAATCATTAAACTCAAATGTACTTAAACATGTCAGACATGATCTATGAAGAGATTTGGTGTTTACATGTAACACAGACCTGATAGCAGTCACCAAATCGAGAAGAAACAGAATATTCAATGTATCAAATTATTAGGTGGAGTGCACTTTTTCTCTACAAAACACATCAGATAAATAAACACCAAGCAAAATTTCTATGATCGAAGAAACTTATTCACGTAAAAAACGCACAGCAACATAAAACGCTAATACAATTGTGTTGCTAGTGAATACTTCGCAAGTTCTGCCACAATAACACCTCAGTTAGTTAAGGAAAGGGTATCTTGTGGTTTAGATTATTATATATTTTCCAAATATATCGTTTATCACACGTGAACACCGTTTTGATGCAGAGAATATCAAGAAATTCAGCTTGATATTCTCTGCGGCAAAACGGTGTTCAAGTGTGATAAATGGCATATTTGAATAATACATAATAATTTAAACTGGAAAATACCGTTTTCTGAACTGTCTGGGATGTTGCACGTCGAATGTATTATATTTTGAATATATTGTGGTGTACTTGCCAAACATTCACTCCTTGCTTTTTGTGTATTCATCAATATGTAAGTAATATCGCTCAATGTCTTGCATTCAAATGTAGTCACGGACGTCTTTCTCCATATACTCTTTTTCGGCAACTCGTTGAAGGAAAACCTAGGATATCTTAGGTCAGGATTCAAGTATTTTTTGACACGATTCGCTTGAGAGCCGATTCCCACATAACTTTCCCTGGTTTCAATTAGACCTTGATGAGCTCTATAGATGCCACTAGTTCCATCGAAAAAAAAACCTACCATGTCCCTAAAAAGACAGGATTTTCTGCCGAAAAATAGCCCGAAAAATGCAACATAGATTGTCAACTCCGTTACGATTTGTAATCTTACCGATTTCAACAAAACCAATTATGAAGCCAAGAAGATCTCAACGAGTGCTATCGAATACAAATCTTACAAGCTCGATATCATGCGCCATCAGTGAAAAACTGGCAAACAGGGACCCGGCTCCTAGTTGTTTTTGCTAAAGATTAGTATGATTCGCTCCATGGTCGATTCCAACAGAATCAATGATAGTCCCTGATCGATCTAAACGAGGTCTGTCTATTTCATATCTCATTTGTTTGATTTTGCCCTTACATCGCTCAGAAACCCAGTAATATGTTTCCCGTTCCAGAAGAAGTTTTGCTGAAACCAGGCTGCTCCCCCTCCCATCCAGTCCTATTGTAACTAAACCCATGATATTTTGCGATAGAGATCGGTGAGGTCTATTGATTTCTTTAGTTAATAAGTGGATTGTATTGAACCGATGATTAAAAACTGCTTTTAGTTTTTGTTCTGTCATGCAGCAATGAATAGTCACAATACAACAGGCAATATTAGGCTGACAAGACGTTTCATAAAGAAGCTTTCATCTCTATTGTGGAGGTATTTTTAGCTCTGTGAACTCGAAATTACGTCTGTTCCAATGCAATGTATTGTGATCGAGTACATGTGTAGTTCTTTTCCGTAAGCAGAGTAGCGAAAAGAACCATACCTTTACTCTCGCTGTTCAGACAATGAGGTTTCTCGAGTGAAACATGCACGTTTTATGTAGCTAGCAGGACTATCTTTGTATTTGAAATAATTTTTGAGCTGTAAGCAAAGTAGTGCATGTCAGATCCATATGAGCAGGAAGGGGGGGGGGAGCTTTTATTGGGTAACCTCGACGAGGGAGAAGAAATTTCATTGAAAAATGTTTTCAAGAGAAAACAAAAATGATGTTTTCCATGTTCAGATAAACAGGATGGAAAGAAGAATGATATCGCTCATTCGTATTTATAAGGAAGAAATAGTTTTATTGGACAATTTCATCCAGCAAAAACAAAACAAGTTTTGTATCTTGCGTTGACATGAAGAGCAAGGAAAAAATCCGATCGAACAAGTTGATCAATATGAAAGAGAAACAGGAAAAAGTAGTTCGTTTCTTACGGAGCCTGCCACGTTTTACACAAAATTCTTTCGAGCCGAAGGATCATTTAAGGAGCTTTCTCAGTGATGGGAGGACGAAATCCAGTCAAAAGGGATGGAATTGATGGAGCTCTTCGATGCCTATCAGGAACTATCATTGGTTTTATTGAAACCAATAAAGGGGCGAATCCTACTCAGTTAGTTTTAGTACAAAAACCTGGATTTTGAGGCCTTGCTGGTCGATTCTTGGCGATGGAAGTATGAAATCAAGTTTGTAAGAGATTCATTCGATTGAGCTTGTTGAAATCAGCAAGGAAGAGAATTGCGACGAGGTTGACAATCTGTGTTGTTCTTTTTTTTT